TGCAGCATTCAAAATGACTGAGCAAGTAGAGCAAGGAATGTGCATCAGATTTTGTGTTAAGCTTGAACATTCCTCTGTGGAAACTCTTCAGATGATTCAGAAGGCCACAGCTATGGGCAACTGGTGATTGGCAGCTTCATCACAACAATACGCCTGCTCATGCATCACGTCTCAGGCAGTTTTTTGGCAAAACATCCAGTGACCCAAGTGACTCAGCCCCGCTACCACCCAGATGTGGTGCCCTGTGACTTCTGGCTTTGCCCAAAACTAAAATCACCTTTGAAAGGGAAGAGATTTCAGACCATTGATGAGATTCAGGAAAATATGATGGGGCAGCTGATGGCAGTTGGGAGAGCTGTGTGAGATCCCAAGGTGCCTACTTTGAGGGGACTAAGGTGACATTGTCCTGTGTACCATGTTTCTTGTATCTTGTATCTTCTTCAATAAATGTCTCTATTTTTCATATAACATGGCTGGATACCTTCTGGACAGACCTCACATACCCAGAAGTGGAACTGCTAGGTCATACAATAACTCAATGCTTAACTTTTTGAGGAACTGACAATTTTCCAAAGTGGCTGCATCATTTTACATTTCCACCAGCAATGTTTTGAAGGTTCTGATTTCTCCACATCTTCATCAACACTTGTTCTTGTATTTTTGCTCATAGCCATCCTAGTGGGTGTGAAGCAGTATTTAATTGTAGTTCTGATTTGCATTTGCCTAATTATTAATGTTTTCATGTGCTTATTGGACATTTGTCTATCTGCTTTGGAGTAATATCTATTCAAATTCTTTGCCCATTTTAAAACTAGAATTACTTATTTTTTATTGTGGAGTTTTAAGAATTCATTATAGTATTCATTCTGTATACTAGATCCTTACCACATATGTGATTTGCGAATCTGATTTGTAAATTGTTTTCACTTTTTTCTTTATAACAGCTATATTGAGATATAATTCACATGCCATACAATTCACCATTAAAGTCTACAATTCAATTTATTTTGGTTTATTTACAAAGTTGTACAACCATCACCCTCATTTTTTGGATGTGTCCTTTGAAGCACAAAAGTTATTAATTTTGATGAAGTCCCATTTATCAATTTTTGCTTGTGTCATTGGTGTCACTCATATTTAAGAAAGCATTGCCTACCCCAACATTGCAAAGATCTACTCCTACATTTTCTTCTAAAAGTTTTCTAGTCATAACTCTTATATTTAGGTCTATGATCCATTTAGAGTTAAATTTTGTGTATGGTATAAGGTAGGAATCCAACTTCATTTTTTGCACAGAAATATCCAGTTGTTCCAGCACCATTTGTTGAAAATACTGTTCTTTCCTTCAGCGAATGTCCTGGTGTACTTCTGAACTGTTAATTCTATTCCATTGACATAAATGTCTATTCTTATACCAGTACCACATTCTTGAATCCTGGAACTTTAAGTTTTGAAATCAGAATTGTTAGTCTTTCAACTTTGTTCTTATTTTCCAAGATTGTTTTGGCTATTTGGGTCCATTCCATTTTCATATGAATTTTAAGAAAAAGTAAGAAACATAAATTAAGAAACTTCCAAACTGTCTTCTAAGGTGGCTGCATCATTTTGATTGCCACCAGTAATGAATAAGAGTTCCTGTTGCTCTGCATCCCCACCAGAATTTGGTATTGTCAGGTTTGGTTTTTTTAAAAGCCATTCTAATGTGTATGTAGTGGTATCTCATGCTTTTAAACTTGCATTCCTTAATTACAGATAATGTTGAGCATCTCTTCATATGCTTATTTGTTATGCGTGTATCTTCTTTGATAAGGTGTTCGTATCTTTTGACTATTTTTTCATTGGATTGTTTGTTCTCCTATAGTTTTCAGAATTCTTTCTGTACTCTGAGTACTAGTTCTCTATCAGATACATTATGCAAAAATTTTCTCAAGCCTGAAGCTTGTCTTTTCATTATTTCAATTGCTGAATATTTTAAATTAAAAAACACTCCTGGTAAGCTTTAATGATGCAGCTGCTTAGAAACCACCAAAGGGTACCTATCCACGGCTGCTGATTTGTGAGTTACAAATAGGGACTATCTCTGGAAAGACCTAAAACCACCAAGATACGTATTTGGATTTCATCCCCATCCATGCCCTTGGCTAATGGCTTTGTGCAAGGCACAAACTGCACAAATTGCAACAAGCTACATGGATCTTAAGTGTATCCTTTTCACATTTATAGAACTTTCCATGATAGGGCTCTTGCCCATTCTCCAGCCACATCTCATCCTTCTATCCTTCTTCTCTATGCCCACAGAAGGCTTATCTCAGCAACCGGAAAGACTTGCTTCCAGCCCCAAGATTTTCATGTTTCCTCTGCCAGCGTGGCAGGCTGACTTTTAAGAAGACCCCAATGATGCTCACTTCCTGGTATTCTCAGCCTTGTGTGGTCCCCTTCCCTTGAGATGTACTAGACCTTGTGACTTGCTTCTAATAAATAGAGCAAAAGTGATGGCACCAGTTCTAATATTAGTCTGTAAATGATTGTAACTTCTGTCTTGCTTGCACTCTCTCTGTTCCTCTCTCACTCCTTCACTCTAATGAAGCCAACTGACAGGTTGTAAGCTTCTCATGGAGAGGTTCATATGGCACTGAGGGGGACCGTCAGCCAGCAGCGTGAGGAGCTGAGGCCTCAGTCCAACAGCCTGCAAGGGACTTAATCCTGTCAACAACTACTTGAGTCATGTTGGAAGCAGATCAACCCCACTTGAGCCTTTCGATGACTTCAGCCCTAGTGGACATTTTGAAACCTTTTGAGAGATGGTGAGTCAGTGGATTCAGCTAAGCTATACCCAGATGCCTGAACCCCAGAAACTGTGAGATAATAAATGTTACTGTTTCAAGCCACTGTGTTTTGGGGTAATTTATTATGCAGCAATAGATAGCTAATATTCTATATATTCTAAGATAGCTAATAGAGTCAGGAATATTCCCCTACTCACTTCCCACCTCTTCTAATTGTTTTGTGTCTTCAAGCATCTGATTTCAATGCCACTTCCCCAGGGATGGACTTCCCTTCCCCTGACAATCCCCCATATATAAGCAAGTCTTTGGTTATACACTCTCATTAGCATTCTCTTCTCTTTTGTTACATTCATCACAATTGCAATTAGTTGATTATCTTAGAAATGTCAGTTGCAAACCAGAGCTAGCTCTATTTTTTCCACACTGAATTCCCAACACCAAATATGCTACACAGCACAGAGTGGGGATATGGTAACTGTATAATGAAAAAAATAAATAAGCAAATGAAGGAAATAATAAATGAAGTGCACCAAAGCCTTGCAGTTCAGAAAGGAGTCAGAGAAAGCCCAATGCCCTAGTAAAGACAGTTCTAAAAGTCTTATAATCCCCAGGTTATATGTATTTTTTAAAGATTTTATTTATTTTAGAGAGAGGGGAAAGGAGGGAAAAAGAGAAGGAGAGAAACATATATGTGCAGTTGCCTCTCGCATGCCTCCCACTGGGGACCTGGCCCACAACCTAGGCATGTGTCCTGACTGGGAATTGAACCAGTGACCCTTTGGTTTCACTCAGCCACACCAGCCAGGGCCCCAGACTATATTTTAAAAATATCAAAAACCAAAACCAAAAATTGAACCATATCAACACATTCTAGATAAAAATTTGTTATGACAAGAGTACATTGTAACCAAATTCTCTACATATATAAAAAGTCTAGCAAGCATTAGCTTATAATCCAGGATTTTGATTAAAAATAAAAACCAAAATACCTTTGCAGTTCTAACAGAAGTAACAGGAACTAACCTGAATAACGGAGGATGAGAGGTGAGGACAGAGTAGGTCTACCAGAAGCTGCCCCACATTGCCAAAGGGCTGGAGCTGCTGTGCCTCTGCTTTTCATATCAAATCTGGGAAAGGTGCCCAGTTTTTTTCTAGGAAATGAATGAATTTTTATCTAAATGCTAAAAGAAAGATTTTGAAGTTTGAGGACACGCTGTGGCCACAGAAAGGTAAATTCGGTCCAGTCATTTTGGTTGGCTAAACTCCTACAGGTCTTTTAAAATGATCACATTATATAATCGACTGCTCTGTATTCTGCCTAGGGAACTGGGCCCATTAGCGATTCCTCATCTCACGGCCTACCAAGGAGCATCCCACTCACTGCCCAGCTGGACACGCAGCTGAATCTCCCAGCTTGTTTTTATGGCACCCCTTCACATGCATCACGCTCTTGCCATTCCTCAGCCACAGGGCATACTTTTCCATCTCTGCCTTTTCACATATTCTTCCTCTGACTGGAAGTTCCCCTTTAGTGCCGATCAGTCCTTGCAACACCAAATTCAAATCGGAAGACTCCTGCTCCCCCTGGAAGTGCTTGCTCTTCTGCTCTGTCTTCTTGGGGCACTCAGTGTTAATCTCTTTTATGGCCTCTATCATATTCAGTATTGTTTTGTGAGCAGGTATGTATCTTACTTATTATCCTTCTACTACCTAGACCTAGAGGATACGGTCTCTGTCTTGATGATCTTTTTTACCTGCATAACCCAAAACAAGGCTTTGGATGGAGCAGGGGCTTAATACACATTTTTTGTTAAATAAATAAATGAAAATCAATGAAACATATATGCTCAAAGGCTTTTAAATGGATCATATATACCTCATATTTTAATGCCAATAATATAGCCTTAAAGAGATTTAATGTTAAAACTATTTAATTTGCCTTTGTATAAAATTTTGTTTTCAAACACACTAAAGACAAAAAAGGAACTTAGAAATGAATAAACAGAATGTTTCTTCACTAGTCCACTAGAACACTGGCTAAATGTTCTAATGTGTTACTCTAAATAGTCACACGGAAGCCAAGGAGGTAAATAAATGACAAAGCAAACTATTAAATATAGGAAAATGAACTTTTCAAGAGCTTTCTGAGTTTCTTTAATAGTTTATTGTTGAACTTTTAACAAAATAATTTGAACAATTAAAAAAGTTTAATAATAACAAATATTAGTCATATGTGAAATGATTAAGTCCAAGTAGTGACTTAATTACAGGGATTTAATTACAGAAATGGAATGTACCAGATTATTTAGGGAATACTGTTCGAGAGGACGGTGTTCTCATGACTAAGTCCAGTGAATCCTGAATCCTCATGTGATTTCTTTCTGTCAGGAAAGACTGTCTCACAGACGATTTCAAGTTTTCTTCTGGTTCAAGGGGGAGAAGAGTATGGGGATTGAATAGACATCGAGGCTCCCCCAAGATGCCAACTCTGTAAAAAGAATTATTGGTATAGCTGAAGCAGTGAAGCCAGAGACTAAGGTGTATGGCTGTGGTTGCATGTGTGTATGTACATGCAGCTTTTTTTTTTTTTTTTAAGTATTCTCTGTTCCCCTGAACTATTGTGGTCTTAAATATGGGTCAAAAAATGCAGCCCAAAGCCAGATTTTGTTCTAGCCCTTCCCACATTTCCCAAAGAGGATTCTTCTATTGGAAAAACTTCAGCCTTTTCAAGTCTGCTACTCACTCATCCAAATTAGAACTATTTGAAGTCCAGTTTAACATTCTAGCGATCTTTCCTATCTAGATGGGTGAACCAACTGCTGCCTGGAAAGGAAACAGGTGGAAAGGAGGAAGGGGTGGGTAGAAAAATGCTGCTTTCATCTTTGTTCAGCTTCCTGGGAGAGGCATGGTGTCTGAGCCCCGTCCCTCCCGGCAAAACCGAGGAAATGGTACTCGGGGCTCTCTTTTCTCTCTCCTGGGGCCACTTACACTGGCATGGGCACAGAGTCCAGATTTTCCACATGCCCTGGAATCTGGGTCGAGAATTGGGTGCCCACTGGATACTTTTTCTCACAGATATTCTGAGCTTTTTCTCTGAGAGATGGCAGCAGGGTAGACATGACCGGAGAGCGCATGTTAATGGCTGTTTTAATCGCTGGGCGTTTTGCCATCATTCTCCTGCGGGGGAGGGGAGGTGACATTTAGGTCACATCATCTTGTTTTCTGAAAATGTCCTTGAGCTTAGGAAAGTCAAAAAGTCATACCTGAATTGTACAAAAGTCATGCATTTCTTTTCCCCTCCTGATTCTTCATCCTCACGCTTCCTTCGAGGAATATTGAACATATTGGTACGAAAGAGCCTCCCTATTTCTTCCTCAATCTCTGTGAAGTGTTGACGTCGGAAGACAATCCAAGCTACATATGTACAGAAAGTATAAAAGGACTACAACGGAAAACAGACAAGAATCACACCCATAGTTATGATAGGAAAAACTCCCACCTGTCTATATAACACTGCTAAGTAGATATAAACACAGATGATCCAATTTCTCAACATTCCTAAAAAGTTGTGGAAAATTATACATGTACTTACCTTTGCAGGAGGAAAATGAGAGCAAAAATTTAAGTTGTGGCATATAGTTTGTTAGCATCCTTTTAAGAAAGGACATTCACTACAAATAAGTCCCTGACAAATAGGTATTAGTTATTTCTATACTTCATGTTTTGTATCAAAGAGAAAAAGCCCCAAAACATAAGTGACTCACCTCAAAGAATTTCCAGTCTTTTTGTGTGTCAGATATTTTCTCCCTGCAATTATAACAAATCACAACTATAGGTTGAGAGGGAAGTTCAATCTTTTAATGATCTACGCAAAACCTTATCTTCCAAAGGTCACTTTGCAGGCTGTGACCCCCCAGGCTATTTAGGCACACACATGCTATCAAAATGCACTGATAATGAGTTCTAATATCTTTTTCTCCAACCTCTGAGGTTACCCAAATCAAAACCCCTAGAGTGTTCCATCAAAAATTAATCAATATAAATTCAGGCTAAACAAGCCAGCCCAAAAATGTATTCTTTCAAATGCTGCTGGGATGTGAGTGTTGGGGAGATGGGGAGAGTGAACAGATGAGGAAGAGGCAACCCAAGGTGTTAGTAGGTACAGAAACAAAGCAACTAGAGGGTAAGTCTAAAATGAAGACGAGGGAAAAAATCTTAATGATTATGGCTATTGGGTGCAAAAAGAAACAGAAATATATCATTATGCCATGCAAATATAATCTGTGCCATGCAATCAATAGACTGGGCACAGTAGTGTGGTCTTCCTTCTTAATAAGGTATGTAAACTGAGCCTTATCTTTTAAAGGCAGGCATTTGTCCATGAGTCCTTGCAACACAAATTTAATGTTAAGGATAATGTACTGGCACGGGCACATTTAGTGAACTTGGCCTCCACTTCCCAACCTCAGGAAAGCAGGCATGGTCTGGGGAAGGCCTGAGAACTGACAGAGAGGGCTGTGAACTTGCAGTCCTGTGATTAGTCATGGGGGCCAAAGCGCTCCAGGGTTGATTCTGTGCTTGCTTTTGCTTTTGCTTGGGCCTTCCTTGGAGTAACTGACCTAGAACTGGCCCTGGTAGTAGGCTCTCCGGAACCATCCTGAATTCCCAAGGTCTGGTGAAGATGACCCAAACCCTTCAGGACCTTCAGCCTTCTCACAGGGACTGCATGATCTGTATAAGCCCGAACTAGATATCCGTGTTGGGGAACCACTGAAGAGATGGTTTAGCTTTCCCTGAGGTGGGTCCTTCCCTTCCTACAGACTCTTCATTTACACACTGGATTCCTCATAGGCAAGTCTTCAACAAAGAATTAAGAGAATCCCAGTGAACATTTACTAAGTGTGAACTATGTGCCAAGCACTATGCTAAGGTTTTTACACATGCTATAATACTGAGTTCTCATAAGATCTCTATGATGTAATCAGCATTATAGCTGAGGACACTAAAGTTGAGACTGAAGTTCAAAAACATAGTTAATCAGAGGTAGAGTCTGTACTAACACCCAGGCCTGACAGAGGTCCACATTTGTCCTCATAACCAGAATGCAAGGGAAATAAGCCTTTTCTTTAGAATATTTTGCAGAATAGTTAAAAGATATTAAACAACAGAGCCCAGCAGAAACTTTTTGAGACAAACTTCAGCATCCTTCCATGACACCTGAAGCCTTCGTCTGACAGGAGTGCTTATGTGGTATTTCCATCCTTCCACGGACTCTGCCAGATGAAACCGGAGACCGTGCAGACCTGCCAAGCTGAAGCAGAAACCAGCCAAGCTTTGTTTTTGGAATATCAAGTCAGTTTGTGTTCTGGGAGGGTGAGAACCGTATTACATTGGCACAACCCAAACCAGCACTATCTCAGCAAAATTTTGAAATGACAGAGTAATTGCCCAGGAAATACACACATTCTATCCTTTACTTTTCTTTCACGGGCCTCCTCCCCTTCTCCGCAAGTTGCCATAAAACTGGGACTTCTTTCTCCCTTAAAGACCAAAGACAATTGGTGTAGCCCAACACCACAGTATTTAAGTAGAGAATGTAGTATTGATTGTATCCAAACCACCAAAATACCATCAGTCATTCCCGAAGGGATGCAAAGCCTAGGGCCAGGCCCATTATTCTGGACTGGAGAGGAGAAAATGTTGTGTTCTACTTGCCCCCTGCTGCTTTAGGTGAAATCAGGTTGAAATGAAGGTCAAGGCCTGCTTTTTATCAGAGAAGAGAAATTTTAAAGGAATGTGTTTTGGGGAAGGAAAAAGAGGCCTTGGTGCCTGTGACTGGCGTGAGGGTAAGAGAATGGGTTTTAAGGATATTATACACCTGAGCTTTAGGGAACCTTTTCTCCCCATCCTCACCCACACCTCCAGCCTCTTTGGTCTCCCATCAGGTGCCAGCTGCACTGAGAGCACGGGAGTGGGGTATAAACCCTAACATAGAGGTGGGAGTGGAGCCAGAGCTGGCAATAACCCAAGAACAGATCTAATTCCACAGCACATGCAGTGAAGGGGGTTTTCTTATCTGTCCTGGAAAATACAGAGAGCTTTCACTGAACATGTTCATCAAAATTTTGCCAAAGCTTTTGTGACATCAGGATTTCACAGATATATTTAGAAGAGAAAGGCATGTCCTCCTACTTCTCAAGAAACATGAAAGCACTAAATTAACAGCCCCCAAATTGCTGGTTCCCCTGAAATCTTAAACTCTAGAGATGAATAGCATAAGGTGTTCTAGTCCAATATTAAGTGTGTACATATTAGAAAGGAAAAGTCAGAAAATACTCATGAAAATGTTCTCAGGAGAATATCAATTTACTCATATTGGGAGGAAGTGAAATAAAGACATGTAAAAATCAGCAAAAAAACATTGTCCTCATTTTGTGGATAAAGCAACCAAAAGAACAATATAAACTCCATTCAAGGACTTAACACCATGGCCAATTAACCACTTCTACTGGCAAAAACATGCTATAATCTGTTTTCCTCAACATCCTTTGTTCAGCTTTTGACCTGTACGACTTGTGTGAATGGTGGGTGGGTGGTAAGCTCTACACTGATTCTTCTGCAACTGTTAACCAACAGGCAGGAGAAAAGCAGGTGATGGAGCAGAGAATGAGAAAACAAGACCAATATCTACTGGGAATGAGCTAGTACTAAATTGAGGCAAGCACTTACAAACAAAATTAGTTCCTTTAAAAGCCTGAATAGAAATTACATTGTAATAAAAATGTACTGTCAAAAGTGCAGTAATTTATGTGGAGGTTCTATACCCAGGGAACTAAAAGACATGATAAAATCTCTAATTATGATGTAACTATATTTTTATTCCCTAGTTTGTAATGCATATGTTCTTTAAAGATTAAACATTAAATATAGGCAATTAAGCTATTTTTTTGAGCTAGAGCCTGTTGGTGGCAAGTGACCAGCGTCCATGAATCCTCGGCCCTGGCCCCCTGGACTGCCCCGACCCCGTCTGAACTGCCAAAATTCTAACCCCGGCACTACCGCTGTGTTGGACGACCCTGGGAAGATGACTCCCCTGGGTCCCTGTCCTCATCCGCAGGAAGAAGATTCTTAGGGCTTTCTGGAGAATCAACTTTCTATCCTTTGAAAACGCTGAGAATAAAGTCCCTGCATCAATTTTTACTAGAACCAATCACCCATCATGCCTGGTTCCGGCATGGTATTCAGACTGCTCTTAGCCCCAATAATCACCAAGTCCACATCTGTAAGAATGGAAGCCAGTGGGTAGAAGCGCATGACCTCAAGGTATCAACTTTGAGGTCATCAAAGGTATCACATCACAGGTATCAACTGGGCTCCCAAGAATGACCACATCGTCGCTTGCTGGGAAGACCGCAATGCCTGTGCCTGGAGTCAGGAAGTTGGTGTCTAGAAGTCAACCCTGGTGATCCTGAGAATTAACCGTACAGCCACGTTTGTCAAGGCGCCCCTACCAGAGAACACATTTGCTGTGGGAAGTGGAGCATGGCTCATTTCTGCTTGTTACTCTGCATCTGAAAATGACTGGTGGGTAAACAAGCACATGACATCCCACCAGTGTTTTGCAACCGGATCACGTGATGTCAAATGCGGCGTGTTTTCCGCGTACATTAAAGAATGGATGAAAAGCCAGCGGGTCCATGCTGGGATGGCAGGATGCCCTTTGGTCAGCTGATGTCAGGGTTTGGTGGCCGTGGCACTGGTGACTGGGTGCATGGCGTCGGCTTCTTGGCCAGTGGGAGCCACCTGCCCTGGGTCAGCCACACAGCACGGTACCCATTGCCCAGGCCTCAAAGTGTAGGTCTCAGCTCCAAAAACAGTTCCTGCCCCTCCTGAGTGTGTCATTTGTCTCTGAAAATAGCGTTGTAGTTGCTCTAGGGACTTGGAAAAGCTTATATTTAGACCACAGGAATATTTTTTTGATGCTGAACTATCAATCCCCTATTTTAAATAAACCTCTACTGCATTTACTACTACACCCCACCATTAGAGGTATTAAATGAAATAATTCCATAATTTTATACATGTTCCTGTCCTTTGTAGTGAAGCCACATTTGTCCTATTTAATTCCCCATGCACATATGACAGCAGCTAAAAATTCTCCATGGTTGCTCATGGTTTGTAGGTCTGAATTAACAGTATAATGATATATTAGATTTCCCCATTTTCTACTTTTTATCTAAAATAAAGGGAAAGTACAATAATATATTCAAATTGTCCTACAAATTAACACAGCTGCCTAAATTGAACTATTAGCTAACAGGTAATATCATTATGTAATGGCTTGAAAAGTTTGATAAAAAGCATTCCTATGAAAACATAAAAATATGGTATAGAAAGGATACTTTAAGGCAGTGGTTTCTAAACTTTTTTTACTGTAACTCAGAACAAGAAATATATTTAATGTTGAGACCAAAGTACACACACACACACACTGAAACAAGTCTCCTGAAACAATATTTACCCTGATTGTCTATGATGTGTCCTGATTTTTAAATTCTGTTTTCTTCTCTTCATAACCTACTAAGTTGATTTCAAGATCCACTAATGTGTTGTGACCTGTGGTTTGAAAAACACCAATCTGGAAGCATTTTTTTAAGAAACATGAGGTTATAGAATGCTGAATGCACAGATAGTGAGGACTGACTACATTTTTAAATGATACACAATAAAATAATGACTCCAAGGCTGGATGTGTTACCTCTGCCAAGATAGGATAAGACATACAAGAAATTTAGGGGAGAAAACAA